CTCTGCTGCAGAGGAGTTATCAAATGGAGAGTAAGACTTATATACGCTGTAAACAGGAGCGTGTAAAGGGATCAGGCATGGTCATGATGTGCCCGAGAAGGGGTGGATGAATCCAGCAACTGTGGGAAGGAATGCACGTGATGAACGCGTTGGCGAGTCGAGAGTATCTCATCAGTAGCAGCAGGGCTCAGTTACAAAATAGCAAAGGAGTAAATAGCAAAAAAGTGCCAATTAGCTGGAATGTATATTTCCTGCGGCTTTTCTGTTGTGCTAGTGTGTAAGAACGCTATGGCTGATATACAGAAGAGCAAAGTAGCAAAATTCACTTTACAAATACGCAAATTTGCCGTTTTGTATAACAGAAACTGCTCGAATGAATATCGTTTGCTTGTTTATATGTCAGAAAATTGCTAGAATATATAAAAGGTGCCGCTATGTGAAGTGCTACTATGTAACAAAATTGAGCAATTTTGCTCAAAAAAGGGGCAAACCGATAAATTGCTCTTTCTACTATTGAGCAAATTGCTACTTTTCAGAGGAGCAATTTGCCGCTTTACGAATGGGCAACCCCACAATGGAGCAAATTTTTGCTGTTCTACAATTGGAAGAAGAAATTGAAATTTCGCACGCTCGATTCTAACCTTGGTGGTTTGTTGGTGATTGTGTTGAGCATTGCATTATAGTTTCGAAGTCTCTGAGTGGTGACTTTTCTGCAAACTTCTTTGGTTTGTCGATATATATAAGAGATTCTCGAGCAACTCAGAAAGCTCGAAGAGGGAACTCAAAAGTAGTGTCGAAGTAGTAATCGGGGAAATACTGATGGTATTGGGATTGTGGATTAAAACTTTTGCTATGCTCTGTATTATGTTTGCAAGTAGAGGATTTGTGTTTACATGGTAGTTCGTATTGGGCGGAATCACTCGTACTGAGTGATCCGAGATCACTTATTTGGATCAACACGGATCACTCATCTGCAGTGCAGTGCTGTATTGCAGGCACCCCAGTGGTGCCCATGCGAGATGTCGTGGCTTTCATACTCGCACCCTGATCCCTACGTGGCCTATTGCATGCGAACCAATATGCTCTTCGGTAGTCTGAGCAAATACTGGTCATTGCAGAAAGATGCCTCTCGCGAACATCGAAATTATCGAGGAAAGAGGCAGGCTGGCTTAGCAGTGCTAAGTTAGCACTCTGCATCTACCCGGCGCTGAACAAGTTCTCCCGAGGTACCAGATGTGAGGAGATAGTGCGAAAGTACTCGCCTAACAACAATGCTATTCTATTGGTGGAGTACGAGAACCACGCGGCAAAATAATTGCAGCAGAAGCGGTCGAAAGACGACGAGCGTGAGGAATCGAAGTAGTTTCTCCCATCACTGGAGACTAGCGACCATGTACGCACTCGCAGTAAGGTAGGCACCTCAGTGGTGCTCAGCTGTTGTAGTTGCTACAAGTAGCTGTCTCGGTGATTGGTAGAGATAATTTGGACGTTCCTCAATATGCTTCTCATGCGACCCCTTACAGTAACTCTAGTGGTGCCCGGGAGTGAATATTGTGTGCGGGGGGGCTGTAGAGTTCATAATCAGTAATTTAGGCCGTGTTGCGTTTCCCCTGTACAATCCTCCGACACCTCTGCAAAGTCTATAACAATAGCTCCCCGGAGACGCTCCGATGAGTGTCACTGCCCATGAGCGAATGTTTCTCGTGTAGAATGTCAAAGTTGCCCGTAATACTTACCTAATGCCTACTTGAGGGTTTAACTTGTGGGTATTGTTGACTCGTCAATACGTACAATCGTACCAAACCATGAGACACAACTGTCACGATGCAAAAAGAGAGAGGATACTCGAAGATGGGACTCAATTTAACTGTGATCTCATCTGATTCAATCGCGACGTGCAAGAGCAATCATGTGTTTGGTATTCAGCATTGATCATAACTCGCGCTGTCTTCGGAGTGAATGATATATCTCACTAGAGTGCTATCACCGTGATAGCACTCTTATAGTATCACGCTTTGACCCGATACTAAGTGACTCACTTGAAGTGAGACACGAGGTGTGACACCTCTGATAGATACTTAGTAAGTGCATAGGGCATGAACATGCACCAAAATGGATATGAGGCGCAATACCGTAATCGAACGAGAAATGCTATCCCATAACTATGTTTGCTCGATTGTATATTGCTCGTACGACTAATGCAAAATGACAAGTTTGCTAATAACGCTAACAGAGACGCAGTTTGAGCGAGTGAGCAAAACGCTAGTATATATTCCCGCAGGGCATAAGTTACAAGAGAGCAAATAGCCAAAACATAGAAGTAGCGCAGCGTTGTCACATACCGGCAACTGCCAATTTGTATATTTCATGCAGGAACATCACACAAGGGCAAACCGTGAAAAATGCCAGACCATATAACTACAACGCAAAACATATCAAACAGCAAATGAGCACAACTTGCCAGAATAACGAAAACGTGCGGGCGAAGCACACTTGGGCAAAAGTGCCAGCGTGTAAAACATTCCGGGGAAATATACAATGCAGCAAAAAAGAGCAAAAAAGAGCGACTTGCTGGAAGACACTTTTGGATTTGCTACTTTCAACATTTGGTTGCTAAACCCTATACCAGAAATCGCTAGGTTGTAAATGTGGTTGCTACTTTGTAACTGAGAAAGCAGCACATACAAAAGAGCAAAAAAGTGAGACTGTCAGAAATTATAGCATTTGGCAAATTCGCAATATTAGCAAAAAGTTGCGATTGCCGGATTGTATTACACCGATTCTGCTACCTTTTTTTGCTACGTTGTATTTTGCCGGATTATTTCACATGATGGTTATTTTCTGATAACTTTCTTGATATTTTTCAAACTTCAAACTTCCGAGCTTTTATATTGTGTCTTCTGGATTGGAAGCCCCATGGCTCCAAGCAGGATAGAAAACTCGAGTCACTCGGACATGGGAAACTGAATTCCCTATCTTGAGAAGAAACTGGTTTTTTCAATGAACTTTGATGCGCAATTCTAATCTGAGCTCGGGAAAGTCACTTGTCGAAAACTTGAACTCGGAAAATGAAGGACATCACTGAATCATTCGGTTCCAGAGATGATGCATAAATGATTCGTAGTTCGAATCTCGCATATTGTAAATCCACAATTGATGCTCTCAGTCTGACTTTGATTTCTTGTCGGTGACTATTGAATCAAAAGTCACCGACAATAAAACGTCACCGACATTCTGAGAAGATGACACGA